TGGACTACCGAACCATTGGCTCCTCCCTCCAAACCATAGTCTATCTGGTCATAGGAGAGAGTCTCGACACCTCCTTCTTCAAAGGTAAGAAAAAGGTTGTCCTTCCCAGGTATGTTCCCTGAGATAATGCGGTTCTGCCACTTCTTACCCGCTTGCAGATCTTTCCAATAATGACAGTAGTTAGCTTCGGCTAAGAAGCCAGCATGATCTATAGCAATCTTGCTGAACTTCTCGTACGTCATCCCCTCTTCCTTTGTGCGGGGACAAAGCTGAGTACGGAGAGGGTCGGGTAGTGCCCTTGCGAAGTTGTTAAGGATTTGAGTAGGAGTGAGTCCATGTTCAACGCATTGTAAAAGTTCATCCATCGTTGCTTTGAGTGCAGATGCACTCTTCCATTTCCGATCCGCAATGTTTAATATCAGCATTTTTGTTCTACGTGCCAAATTTTTATCTTCAAATCTTTCTCTGACAACTTTGAAGAAATATTCAATTCTCGTTTGCTGTGAGTACTCAATCATAGTTTGGCAGTTAGTTTTTTTTTGCAACGATATGGCGAAGCTCATTGCGTCGCCGGCCATACACGAAGTGGCCATCAAGACTCTGTCCCAATACATAATGAATTGTCCGTATACATAAGACTCTAGGGCAACAATCCAATGTAAGACACTCTTCTCCTTCTTGCCTGTGTAAGTCCACAACACTTTGACTTTAATTTTTCTCACATCCCCACTTTCTTCTCGCTACACTCCCTTTCCTTTCTTGTCTCCATTTCCCCCATCTCCCCCATCTCCGCCTCCATCTCCTCCTCCTCCTCCACTGCCGCGAATTATCTTTTCAATTACGGCGAAAGTGAAGGTTTGATTGATGTGATCATCTAATTTCTGAATATATGACTGCACATGTTGATCAACATCCTTTGCGGACTTCTGCAGGAAGGTGTTCCAGATTCCCTCGAATTCGTATTAGTGGGTCTCAACTTTCTGCAATGTTTTGTTCATTATTGCTAATTCTTGCTTTGTATGGAGGACCGTTTCTGTCAGGAGTGCAAGTTTTTCTTTGGTTGCTATTTGCTTGTCTTTTTGGTTTTGCAACTCTTTTTGCAACCTCACCCACTGCTTGCAGTCTTTTTCTCTCTTCAAACTCTTGTCACTTTGCAGCCAACATTTTACTATGCAATTCAATTCGTTTTTCCTCCAATAAGAGTTCTTTTTCCCTTTTGTCTTCAATGGACGCCAATTTTGCAATGAACGTATCTCTTTCCTCCTCCGTCTCTTCAATCTGGTCACTGGAGTATGCATACTTATCATACCAATCCAGCGGTTTAACTCGAAGTCCTCCACCTGTCTGGCTACTTTCCCCCCTGTCTGTCCGTCGCCGGATGAGCCTGTCATCAGCAGGTTCATCTTCTTCTTCTCGGTCTGTCGACGTTCTACTTCAGCCTGTTCTGCAGCCAAGGGCCCTGGCTTCACAGTGTCGGATCTCATCATCATATGGGAGGTACAAACCCTCCCGAAGCCCAGGGGAAAGAAAATTCTGAACAAGGGGCCCAACAAAACTGAAAGGGCCAACAACCCTTGCATAGGATAGTCATCCATGCTGGGTGACAACACAGGAACGGCCTCCGCTGACCCAACAAGTAGACAACCCAAGTACTATACTAACTTTATGTGGATGGGATCTGCCTTGTTTTTTTTTTTTTCAAACTCTGGATATCGCTGCGTCAAGAATAACGAATTTCAAGGAATATGGAACTTTTATAACTTCAATATACAATAGGACGATTTTTTTTTTTCCCCTTTCTTTCTTTTACTTCGCTTATTGTCTGTCTTCACTTCAATACACCTGGATTTGTACTCACACTTGTCTGGTTGTGTCTTGTTTGTTCTCCTTCCTTTGATCTTTATTATTACAAATAAGTTTGGTCTTCTGCGCAGGGATGGACTGGAGTTCTTACAAAGTCAGATGCGATGGATAGTACTTCAGTACAGATCAGATTTATCCAGATCACTTATGCCTTAGACTCACTTTGCATCTGACGTGGCAGTCTGCCACAACTCCCTAGCTCACTCCTATCTTCTACTACTTCCTACCAGCGCAGACGTCAGACCAGATGCCATGGGAATGGAACCGGACGACTCTGACAAAACCCACTCTACCACTCTGACCTCTTGACCAGACTGGGTCCCAGGTGACTCGACCAGACAGCAGCAGCAGCCACCACCAGAGAGGAAGGGGGAGGAAGGTACACGGCACACAAATCCACAAGCAGCCAGGTAAGGGGTAGGAGATTCTTCTCTTCTTTGTAGACGTCGAAGCCCCTCCTAATCCTAACCACCTCTCTTCTCACACTTCCACTATAGCCAGCATCTTCAAGCCAGCATATCCTCCTCGCCAGCCTTACTCATGCCAGCACTTCAGTGAGCGCAACAAGTTCTGCTCCGATACCAAATTGCAAGGAACCTGACTGTTCATAGCTTGCTGGAGTGTATCTCATTGCATGCATAGATGTCATCATACAGATAGAGAAACTTCACACGAAGCCAAATCGAGATGAGATGAGAACCAGATAGCGCAGCTCATATTATCACAACAACATTTTACAAAGAGTATCTMGMGTCCAAGAGTTCAGCGCCAACASAGTACAAGTCTCTTTCGTTCCATACTCAATATAGGGCSTGGCTCAGCCAGCGTCTGCCCTCAGATCACAGGTATGGCGCCAACAGGTAAGTATCCACCATATCCAAYTCYTTAMCCTGTCTTATCTCTCCCTCCCTCTCGAGATCCCTGTCTTRGTTCCCTTGTCTCACACTGCATGCTCACTCCCTACTTATGAGGATCTACTCTGAATGCTACTCACTGATGTCTACTAMTAACCCCTCTACTTCTACTRATAATGCTGGCRCAGCTATGGCTGCTTCTGCCAGTCAGCGCCCAGCCTCTTCTTCCTCTGCTTGCGCAGCTTCCAGCCMGCGCATTCTCCCTGCATGCTAGCGCACAAGTGCTTCAGCACTTCSACGCATCAATKCCAGTGGWGATCYRTCGTGTAGGGAGGCTGGCCTGGTCTCTTATAGTGCTGGCCTCCCTTCGTGAGGTCTGCATCAGTCTTCCTTGGGTCTGTCCCCAGTCCCAAGCCTCTGTGGAGTGTGTCCCAGTACCTTACCCTCAGGGTCTGCTGCTGCTGCGGCCTTCAGGCCTGAATTTCAGACTTCCAGTCTGCATCTAGACTCCCTCTTTGACTGGGATCTGGACTGGGACCTTATCTTTTTGACTTCTTTATGAACAGACACATCTACTGCACGGACAGGCACATCTACTGCACGAACAGACATGACTTGCACAGCCCCCTGGACGAACAGGTATGACTCCCACAATTGAATGCTGCAACTGTTCGTCCTGGGGCAYGACTGTGACCCTTGACATGACTTCTCACTTAGTTAGGATGTGACTTTTGACCCAGAGAACATGTCTTTTGATCTGCTTTTCACGAGTTGGGTTCTAGCCAAGCGGACCCCATTATGCTGTATTCGTCATTCAGGGTCCGAACGGGTAAAGGCCCTTTTAGTTGGGCCTGAAACATTCACCCAGTTGACCCGACATTTGCAGACACTGAGATTCGATCCCTAGACCTGTGCCTGAACCCTGTACATTGACCCTGTGTGATAAGTGAGATTCGATTCCTAGACCTGTGCCTGTGCCCTTTACATTGACCCGGTGCCTGTGTGAGATTCGAACCCGAGACCTGTTCTGTGTCATAGGTTAGGCTGTAGGTCGGGTAGGTGGACTCGATCCCCAGGTCTGTAGGTTAGTAGTTAAGTCTGTTACCAGTAGCCCTAGGGAGGTCTGTTCTAGAAGTCTCTACCTGAGTCTACTGAGGGCCTATAGTCAGTCCGTAGGTCTGTAGGCTCTGGAAGGCTGTAGGTCCCTGTAGGCCGGTCCAGTCAGCAAGTATCAGGGAAGGGCTGCACGTGGGGGAAGGTTCTGGCCACGTGGTATGCAGAAGGCTCCGGAAACGCGTTTTGGGGCCACGCGTTTTGGCCCAGAGGGCCCACACGTTTTGGGACTACCAGGCCTACGCGGTCTGGAAGTTTCCAGGCCCGGGCCCCATGCGGTAAGAGGCCAGGTCCATGCATTTTGGCCCAGGCCCACGCGTTTTGAGGCAGGGCCCGGCCACCTCCGAATAAGTATAAATAAAGAGGCAGCGTCCAGCCATTCATTCATTCGCTTGTGAGCCATGCGGAAGCGCTGCTTCGGTGACTTGTGCGTGGAGGTCTGCAGGTTCCCGGAGCTGAAGTGGGCAGTGAGGGAGACGACGGCCATTGCTGGCCAGGAGGAAGACAACGGTCCATAGCTAGGAGGAGGAAGACAACGGCAGCCATAGCCGCCCAGCTGTTGTCACCGACAGAGTGTACAGAGTGTGTGTGTCTGTGTAGCGTGGACATTCAGGGTAGATCCTCGTACATGCGTGCACAAGGGAGGGTGAGGCTGGTGGTGGAGACTGTTTTCGGCGGCCATAGCCACAAGTTGTGCAGTCGACTTGAACAGAGTTTAAGTACAAGTTTGATGTTGATTCTGAGTTGAACATCAGTTGCGTGTATGCATGTTGTAAGCAAGTTTGGAGTACAGCCTGATTTCAGCCCCAGCCCCAAAATAATACGGTATAGGTTATGTTCCCACTTTGCACAACAGCACGAAACGCAGTGGTGGTTTAAAGAAGAAAGACATGCTCTGTACCAATGGGCCTAGCTCAGTTGGTACATCCATGAACTGTTGATTGAATCTAGATGCAATCAGACGAACAGAACACTATAATTCAGAAAGACATGCTCACCTCACGTTTCAACCTTTGAAAAAAAAAACTTGGTGCAGTTTCAATTCTTTCTGGGGTTGGCGGATATATCCCCTCCTCATGAACGCGTTGGAATTTGAAATAAAGATCCAAGATCGAATCCACATGCATTCTGATGAACCAAATAATAATATAATAAGAAAGAAATGCTCACCTCACGTTTGAACCTCGGTCCAGTTTCAATTCTTTCTGGAGTTGGCGGATCCATCCCCTCCTCATACGGCATGGCGCTCGAAATAGTGGTGGACGCCGAGGTGTGTTCGCCTTCTTCACTGCGACAAGACATTTCTTGGTAGTCAAAGTTGGAGCTGTCCTGGGAAACAACTTCCTTGTTGTCAGGATCTGTTCTACTCTTTCTTCTACCATCAAGGTCGTCAGATGAAACAGCAGCGTATGGTTGGGCTATTGCCGCTTTCCACTCCCATGATGCCTTCAGCTCTTCTTCTTTGTCACCCATCTCTTCATCACCATCAACTGTCTGACCACCTCCTCCTAGGAGAGGAGGACGACCACCTCCTTCTCCTAGAGGAGGAGAAAGACCACCTCCTTCTCCTAGGGGAGGAGGAAGACTGCCTCCCCCTCTCAACAACTCGTGGTTAGTGTCCGCCACCGGAGCTAGAGCATCCACTTCCATGTCTGTGTCGGATGGAGATTGACGCACAGTTGGGGACGCCATCCTGTCTCCTAGGGGAGGAGGAAGACCATCTCCTTCTCCTAGGTTGAGAATGGTTGGACTTGAACTGTCGACCATTACTCCGGATGCGGAGGGGTGTGGAAGGTGGGTAGACGACACATCTACCTTCATCACACAGTCAATCCTGACAACGTTCACGCTATGAAGACCCATCGGATCGGCTTGCATTGATTTCAGCAACTTATCTATTCCCATTTGTTGCCTTCCTGAGCGGCCGGTACTGCCGATCTTTTTGGGGTTGGCGAAGGGCAAGCTGTCATCATCACTGCCTCCATAACGAGGGGATTCATTCTTGAGAAAAGTGTTATCGATAATGGCCGGGTCATGCGAATCACCACCCGACGACTTCAGCGTACGGTGAACAACAGCTGCTCCAGCTTTACTAAGGTAGGGAAATGCGCATTCGCAAGGACCACCTTTCTTACCCTGGCTTGCTGCCTCAGTCTCCCAGGCAGGATCAGAGATAGAACTCGGTGCATGGGATGCGATAGCTCGAGTTGTCGCAGAATTGCTCCCCTCTCTACCCAGAGATAACGAGCCCAGAGCAGGAGCGTTGCCTCCCTTCTCCAGGAGTGGTGAATGTGGTGGGGGTGCCTTGTTACCCTTTTCATAGCTATTCCGCCTCATGCCACCAGTGCGAAGTAAATGCTCCTCTTCCAACTTGCACACCACTGTCCCTCTTCCGCCTACCACTTCACCATTCTCTTTCTCAAGTCGCCGCCTTCTCCCAGCCTCGATATCAATATTTCGGAAATCCAACGAGGATGAAAAAGATGTTCCCTCCTCTTCCTGCTTGAGCTGCTCCTCTGCCTCTGTAAGGACCACCCTGGCTGGTCTTGGCATTGAGATCGACCTTCTTCCTTCTTTGCGGGTCGTTCTTCCTCTGCCCGGTACCGAAATGCAGGGCAATTCTTCCTTCACTGCTGTTGGGCTGCCTACCAAGGTGGTTTTTCTGTTAATTGCTTTTGCTGACGGCCTCCTGTCCTTGCTCTGTGAGGGTGGTGGAGTGCTACGAGACAACGCCAGCATATCTGTTGGAGCTCCTGGCTGGGAGAAGCTTGGCGACGGCTGATGTGCATCTCTATGTGCCAGAGCGTGTCCTCTCTGTATTTTTTCCATGTGGGGACCACCTCCGTTCTTGATGTCACCGCTGACGGGCCTGCCTGTAGTGAGCTCCAATTCACCATTGGTTCTCGGGCCGGTTGTATGTTTTGTCCCTCCAGCTCTAGCAGCAGGAGAACTGGGCCTGCTCCTTCCTCTCTCTGCTGCTTCAAGAGGAGAAGAATGCAAACAAGTACCCCCCCTTTGATTAGAAGATGGCCTCTTCCTTTCAGCAGCACTGCTTTCCCCTCTTCTGACTTTTCCTGCTGGACTGCAGGCGGGTCGTGATGCCTGTGAGACAGGAGTCGTTCCGCTGCTCCTTGGACGGAAGCCTCGGGAGTTGCTAGGAGCGGTCGTGCAGGACGGCTGTGGCGATCGTGATGACGACCTTCTCCTTCCTGTCGACCCCACAGCCTTTCTCGATGCTTTGTCAGCTGGGCTGAAAGCACGATGCGCTGTTGTCAGTGAAGAAGCACGACACGGTGTCGTCACTGAAGAAGCACGAGCGGATCGATCACTCCGTTGCACAGGATGATCTCGGTTTCCATGAGGATTAGCAGCCTGAGGGCATGATGATGACAGCCATGGCAGTGGTGACGGGTATCTTTGAACTGCTACTCCAACCCTCCTTTCTAATCTGCCGTTCCCTGGTGGACATAATGCATATTGTGATGCTTTGGTCAAGATAAGAACATTCCCATTTCTTTCTTGGCTGGGAGCTGGCGAATCGCGAGATGGGGTGCTCGTATGTGATGTTCTTGCCGAAAGTGACCTCGACGGCGATCTTCTTCCCAACATTGAAGTTCTACTGCTTTCGCCGTTTGCTATCCTAGCAGGACTGATAGAGGGCCCTGAAGCCAATGAAGCAGTGGCTGAACTATTAGTGACACCTCTACTTTGAGGGAGAGGAAGGGGTTCAGAAGTCCTAGAAGAACTGATAGACTGACATGAAGAAGGAGTAACTGTGCTATTAGTTTGACCTATAATTGGAGAGAGAGGAAGGGGCTCAGTAGTTCTGTCGGACGGCAACGGCGATGACGATGAGGAATGCAGCACACTTGTTGTCCGTTGGCCAACGGCAGGGCAGTCACTGCAGCGGGAGATGTGTCCCAAATGATTGTCTAGCCCATCTACAGTCCTATCTGGGGTAGTTGCCGGTGCTGGGACTGCTATTCCAGCTGGAGTGTGAGGTTGACCTTGAGCGGATGGATGGGAGACAGAAGCATCAGAGTCCGCGCTTCTCTCTCCATGATCTTCATCAAGGTCCCCCTGCACATTTCTTACTTGTTCAATCCATGCTGTCCTCTGGGACATACTGCTAGCCTCTGTCCCTGTTATCATTGTCTCAGTATCTCGACTTTCCGTCTTTCTCCCCACCTCCTCGACCTCTTCTCTATGTTTGAAAAATGTCGATTGCAACCAGTTCTCATGGATAGACCCACTCATCTCTTTTCTCATGGAACAGGAGTTGGGGGTCATTGCTCCCTGCTGAACCCCAAAGCAACCCGTCTCCAACTGGTGTGATTTATAGGCATGCATGGTACTCAACCCGTTTCCACTCTCGTCAACAGTTAGCACGTCAAAGGTAGCTGACAAGGCCTTGGTGGCCAACTCGGTTGAACTGGTAGTCATCCGTGAGGAAGCAGCTTCTTCTATGCACGATAAAACAGGTGGATACGAATGAGACGAGTAAGTGGGTGCGGTGACATGATGATGATGATGATGATGATCATCATCATCATCAGCAGCAGCAGCGGAAGAAGAGGATGAGGAGGCGGAGGAAGAGGAAGCAGAGTCCATGGAGGAAGAGGAGGAGGAGGAGTAGGAGGAGGAGAAAGAAGAAGAAGATGAGGAGGATGGTGAAAAAAGTGACGAGGACAACAATGATGAAGATGATGATGATGATGATGATGATGATGATGATGATGATGATGATGATGATGATGATGATGATGACGACGATGCTGCTGCTGCTGCTGCTAATGAGGAGGAGGAGGAGGAGGAGGAGGAGGAGAAAGAAGAAGAAATAGCACGAGAGCATGCGCTTAGACCCATTAGATTGGCAGGAGGAGGAGGTTTCTCCATCCTCACTTGTTTGTCTTTTGCAAGAGTGGCGCGTGTCTCTGCTGGTGCCTGAATGTTCTGAGAAGGTATTGGCTTGGTACTCGCTGTGCTGCGTCTTCGCCTGGCCGGGAACTTCTCCTCTGCTAAAGGTGCCGGTTTTGTCCGGATAGGACTGTTCCAGGGTTTCAATTCCGTCTTCTTGATAGCTGAGGAGGAAGCGACTTTGGAGGACAGATGCGGAATCCCTCCTGTGCGAGCTGCTTTGGTCTCTTCCATGGCGCCTCCTAACAACCTCCCATGTCTTGGTGACTCTTCTGCTTCTGCTGGCAGCTGCAGTCGTTCACCGTGGAGCTCTGCTGGAGAAGGGTTCTCTGATAATGAGGTGGAGGTGGAGGTAGTGGTTTTGGGAAGAATGTGTTGCTGTAGAAGGGAGAGACTTGTTAATCCTGTTGATAGCGGAACAGTGGATGTTTGTCCTCGGCGAGAGGGAAAACTGCTGGCTCCCACTGGCGTCTTCTCTGCTTTGACGGTATTCCCCCCAATGCAGGATAAATCCCTACACTTGAACCCCCCATCCTTGCTCTCCAGTGCCTCTCGAAACCTATACAAGCACTCCCTCAGTGCTTTTCCCTTTGTAGTGTTGACGGACGCCTGTGATGTTTGTGTGGAGACCACCGCATCCACATGGGGGTGACGAGTCCTTCCAGGCAACTCTTCGCGAACCCTCCTTGCTGATACAAGGCCTAGGCTGGGAGATGCGCTTCCTGTTGCCGATTGGGTTGCTGAGGAGGGAGGCATGGAGGGACGGGGAGGAGATACCACCGTTGTCGCCATGCTCACACCCAACAACTCTTGCTTTGGGGTTGTCGCTGCGGCTTCTGTTGTGCTGAATGACGAGGCTCTCTTGCCGGAGCTTGAATTGCTTGCAATGGAATCATTTCGTGCTCCAACTGCCCTCACTCTTGCTGCACTTGCGGCAGTCGGTGACATGAATCTGTAGTCCGTAGTTTTAGTGGGCGTGGAAGAGCTCTCCCTCCTAGACTGCAATTGTTCTGCTTCTGCTCTGCACTCTCCCCTTGATAACAGCTTGCTATCATTAGCAGCAGCATTACTACATGTGCTGCTTCTACTCCCATTAGCACGGGCGAAAGGGCAAGGAGAAGTGCTCCTACCACCGCCCCAGGGCCTGAAATGCAAGGGAGGGTGGAAGGCAGCACTTGTCGAAACACTCCCCTTGGGCCTCTGCGGCAACGGGGAGTTCGCCCTTATCATATTGGGTGTCCTAGTCATTGCTG